GTTTTTCGTCACTGGCGCCGCATGTAGTCCGTCCTAAACGGGTGGTTGAAGGAATGCGGTCTTTCCGGTTCTTACCCGCGGTTCCAACCTGTCGGTTCTCGGATACCCGAGAGCCGCGGTTCCCAAACGTGACGGGTATTTGGAAGCCCTAATGATTACAAGAGAGTCGAATGTGGAGTAGTAGCTAGAAACAGATGTTGAGCACGGCGATGATGAATAAATTCACCCGCTGGAAGCCATTCAAAGTGTATTCAATGCTGACTATCAGACACCGAGTTGTCCCATCCCGATATATTTCGCGAGAAGCTCCGATGATAGGGGGGAACGCTCGAGAAAAAAAACCTGAAGATTCCACTGAGAGAACTCTCCTCTGGCAATACAATGGGAAAGCCCTGGGAAAGAGCTCTCTCAGGAAAAACTGTCCATGTACGTCAGTATTCCTCCGAGTGAGATATGGCCCGCTTTCCGACCGAACACGAACTCTGCGGATTGAGTAGCACCTTTGAAGTTCGAATTTGCCGCGCTCAGCTCAACCAACGGCGCTCTGCGCTCCGTCGAGTCAGCGGGAGAATCGTTGTTTACTTTCGATCCGATGTCCTAGGGTCTCATTCTTGGCTCCAGGAGTTGATCTGCGCGTGTGGGAATTCCGTAGGAAATATATGAAATTGATGTGCCGCAAATTTGCTATCTAAAGACACCAACCGGGTGTCGATCGGTGTAGAAGGCACGGAGCTGCTGAGCGTAGAAAATGGACAAGTTTCGTCACACTTTTGGTGAAATACTAGGCCGACCTTTTCAAAGACGTTTCACGTCAAAATGACACTGAACATGATGGCTCTTCGCCATGGTGAGAATCAGTGCCGCAAGTTTCCATCCGAAATCCGAACGCCCCGCTGAGTCTCCACTGATAATTCCTCGAAGACGCTCTACTTCACCGCGTGTCGCGGCTCGGGGAGCGTTCCGTCAGAGACGTCATTTCCGCCGATCAGCCTTGTTGAACTTAGCGGTACTCAGAGTGAAACCACACATTACCAACGATTAGCTCCGGATTCAGATTCTTCTAGATATTTCTCGTGCCTGTTCTTCCCCAAAAACGAACGGATGCGATATTCTCCCTACAATCACCGGCTATCCATAAAAAACATACATACATTACTGCTTGGAGAGAGAACTAGGTATTCTCCACTAGCTCATTCTGCTGCGTAGATAGTTCTTAGCATTCTCCGTTGTGCAAAGGTTCACCGGTCCACTCGGACATTGCAGGAAATTACCGCGATCACGATTATGACAGATAGCAACATTAGCCCCGAAAAACGACGACGTTGACAACATCAACTCTTCACTCTGCTGCATACTCCGGGGGGCTACTCTGATTACAAGTCTATGGACTGTCTCCTCGAAATCGATGATGCTGTCCAATTTCCGAACGGATTTCTGAATTCTCAGACTCCGCCTCCGAGCGGGAAGCAATGTCGGTTGTCCGCACATGGCGCAAGTGGAACAATAACCCAACTTCCGCCTCGCGATTTTTTGCACGGCGTCTCTTTCGACCCCACTCTCGAGATCGCGAGCTTTGACCGCGAGAATGTGAAGTTGTCCGTCCATTTGCTCTTGCATCTCTCGCAACTTCAAGTTTCGGCGCCGGATAAGACTTCTATCGAACCCACCGGACCTTGATGCCGCAACTAGCTCTTATCTGATCACATTTCATACGAACTTCTTGGAGCCTCTCGGGACTCAATTTCACCCCAATCTCACCCCGAAAAGCGAGAAACACATGACGGTCCGTCCCTCGCTCGATCTCAGTAGCTCCGACGTTTATACTCGAGAGCGTCATTCGATTGATTTCGTCGCTCGCAATAGTTTGGGCTCCTGACTTGATTCCCACTATTCATCAATCATTCACATACAAAGTTGGTGTTGAACAATGATTGGACAAAGACAAAAGAAGAGTTGAGCTCACTTCTAGTGGGCAATCGGGCCGAGCAATATTTTTAATGTAAGAGGTAGTTCAGGTGGTTAAAAGAAACATCTTGACCGAATTCAGGTCGTGACACCTCAATCATCTCATATCTATGCCCGCTTATTATCGCGGTCACGATTTCACAAATAAGACACAAGACAGCCAAATTATCGTTATTGTCGAACTCGGGCTTTATGTCAGCCAGAGAATCCAGTCGTTTAATACTTTATGAGCATTTTGGAGGCAATCGAGCGAGTCAATCACCGTTGGTTCAAAATGAAACCGATCCGGAATGAGTATCAATTTTCCACTAAGGTTTCTCTCTCTCCCCATTTCAATCTTTCGAAGTACATTGGCTTGGTTGTCGTTGACATCAACAGGACCTTTCAGAAGCTTCAAGTCTACGGTCAACAGGGTCGTTGTCCTACTTCGTTTCGTACTTGAACCTTTCAACCATATGAACAGCTTTTTACCACGGTTCTCCCTTCGAAGAAGCGCGACGTTAACATTGGTGCCGTTGACGATCTCCGGGAAACGACGGAATATGTACTTGATATTGCCGACCTCGATAAAGCAATTTTTCGCCTCGAATCTCGGAGCCAAGAATTCGCATTTTAGGAATATGACATCGTCCTAGCTTCGGAACTGACTCACTGCCTCACCCCGGTAAGCGAAACACATGCGAACGAAGAGCATCGCTCTCATGTATGCATGTATCATATAGATGATTTGGAAACCCCACTCCATCTTTAGGAAAGAAGAGAGAGCGAAGCGGTCAAGAAAAGCCTCCAAGTCTTATTCCGGGACTACGTAGACTGGAATTATGATGGTAGTGGTGTTAGCCAACCTTACCAAAGAAGCCTCCGAGCTCAGACCGTTGAGTTCCTCTTCCCTCAAAATATGAAGAGAACCCTCCATATGACTTTGCCGTCTAGCGTAGCGTTAGAAAGACTGTTCAGCAAGGCTTGAAAACTCCGGCATTATTCGAGGGGACGTCTGAGTGGTGAGATGCTATCCAGCATGGTTCTCCTCAAGCGTTTTCACGCAAAGTGTTATTAGATGTGATGTGTAATTAGATGATGAATTGATCATCATCTAATCTGTAATAACATATTCCATCCAATACATCGTTACCCAACGATACATTCCATATGTACATCAATTTACGTACTCCAGTTCCTCCGACCCTCTAGCTGTTTCGTAATGTGGAGCAACCATTCGGACGCGCGAGAAAGGAGGAGGAACCCGACTCGGACAAACTCATGTCTGAATCTCATGATATCATATCATACTCCGAAGACTAATGAAACACAATATCGCGGTTGAATATGAATGAAACATTCTTAACCACTAAAATACGCAGCTCGAGAAGAACATAGTTTCCTATGATCAATCTCTCATTGATCCCGTAACGAAGCCCGAGTTGAATACACTAACTAAGAAAACGACGCCTGATTTGCTTAACTTATTGTTAGATCTGGAGTAATAGCCCGATATTATTACCCCAATACTGAAAGAGATGCGTGTTTTGACATTGTAAAGATGCTAACTCGAACAGCGGTAGATAACCGAGATTAATGAAGTGCCACATCCTCGGAACCCACCCGGTAATATGTCTTTGGCACGCTGGGGTTCGAATCAAAGGGGAAACAATCAATGAGTCATTCCTCCACTGAACAACTGTATACAGAGGCGATGCTCGTGAAATTCATGGAGTATCCGTTACGCGAATGGTCTCTCGGAACTCCACGCGAACACCCTCGGACTCTGAGTCACGCGGCATGAGCGAGAGATCACGGTGATATTGAAGAAGGATCGTCCCTGACGACGAGATCGTCAATGAGAGCGACATTCGGGGGATGATCTTTCGAATTCAGTCTCCCTCGAGACTCTCAGACAATAACGATGTTTCTGATTTCAAGCTGCCTGCCTGATGTCATAAAGAGGCTGATCGGTAATCTCATGATGACGCCCCACACACAATTTCCCAAGATGAGTCTCGCCATGGTTCCAAAAGGTGACGAGTCTTTCCGGGGACCAAGTCCTTCGATTGCCTACGGTATCAATTGCATAATTCAATACCGTAGCTTCAATATCGATAACACGCCTCCGGGAATACGTGGATATAGACAGAGTCAGGGTGACGCTGTTGGTGGCGAATTGGTCTCCGCTGCGGACTGCTAATGTCAGCGGGAAACAGGGAAGAGCCGCGGAAAGGGCAGGACTTGAAGCGCTAGCACCGAAGTTTCCCCGTCGATCTTCCCCGATCGAGTCTGGAATCGATTTTCCTGGAAGATGATTACTTATCTGCGCTGGTCGAGCCATACGCGAGGGACAGCTTCGCATAATAATATTATTGCCCGATTTCTATCGGCTTCGGGTTGCACTGATCATTGAACAGATCAAGTTTGCCGATTCGATCCCGAGGCAGGTACCCCGAGGGTAACACCCCTCTGATGATGTTCCAAGAAGAGACGCTGGACGGGTATCAGGTTCTCAGGCGTGTCCCCGCTTCCCGGCCAGCACCGGTCGTCAACCAGTATTATTATCTTGGGTACGTGTCGCTCCTGTCGACGGTCGGAAGGAGTTCATCGATCTCATCGCTCACAATGAGCTGGACTTGACTCGGAGCGTTTACCCATAAGATGAACCGAAATAGCATCCAGTCGCTGGTTCGGACATGCGAGCAAGACATCTTGCTCGCGATATCCAAGACCCCATCCGCGTTGACCGTTAGTTTTTCAGAGGGAAGGGTCATCGTGAGTCCGATGAGACAATCTGAACGAGCTCTGACATCGTTTCTCTGTTGGATGAATCGAGCAGGAATCATGCTGCAAATCCCTCAATATTCCCCGGGACCATTGACCTCCCAATTGACTCTCGAGCGTCCGACGAGCAACAGGGGAAATTGTGGAGAGCGATCATCCTATAGATCAACTGTCCCTGGGAGGATCAACGGATTTTCCGACCGATGGATCCCTCGATTTCTTTATCCTCCAACCTACGGATTCCTCTAACGATCGACGGATATGGCACGTTTTGGAAGAATATAACCATTGCTTTATTTATATTATATCATCATTCCATAATTACTTCCAGGTTTCGTTGAGGGATTACTTTCTTTTAGAATCGGTTCCAAATTCGTCGAGCAAGATGTCTGACGAACGAATTCTGAATATTTGTAGTATGTAGTGACGTGTTATATGAGTCTCACATCGATATCCGTCGATTCACCAGACGAAAATATTCCTTTTTGCCGCTCTCCTCGGAGAAACGTGACTTCGCGGGGATCCTTCCTCTAGGTATTCTTTCAGTTACAAAAACACTCACTGAATCATTTCCGGCGACAATTAAGTTTCCTCAAGGTGCGTTTGATGATTCTGCGCCGTGCACCCGACTCCTATTCAGACTTCAGACACACCTAACAGCGAGTTCAGAGAGATTTGAATAACAGTAAGATGAGTCGTGTTCTCACAGAAGTTCACTCACTCAATGGCTCGAACAGCCGGAGGGGGAGAGTAGTTCTTTTTTCTCACTTGGAACGTCAACTGCTACGAGCATATTTGCACCGGGGTAACCCCACGCTCATATGAATTTCACTAGATGCCAACATACGGACATATCTCCTTCAGAAGAAGAAAACTCGACCGCGCTCAACGGTGAAGCCATGGAATCCTCTGTGTCGCGATATTCCAGGAGGGCTTGAATTTGAATGTCTACGAACGAACGGGCGGATTGATCAATCGTAAGCGATTGAGTCATCACCAGCCGCGATAATTGGAGAGGTAGTAATGGGTTGCAAAATCGGAGGATTGAGAATATCGTACAGGGTGGCCAATACAAGATATGAGGCCCGGACAAGGACCGCTGGCACATGAGTTTCCTCCGTCTAGGGAGCTTCGGTGGACGTGTTCTGTCCTCCGTCGGTCGCCTCTTCGTTATCTGAATAGTCTGTGGGTTCGTCGCCAGGCTTGAGAAGCTTTCCGACCACATCGTATTTTTCCTTAAACTGCAAAAACCATTCTTTGACTTGATCCATTTCGGAACTTTTCAGATCCGACAAATCGTCGTAGACCGGAGGGCCCTCGACGGCCTTCAGACAAAAAGTGGCCAACATCCGGGAGGCGTCACGTCCCGCGAACGCCGCATAGGGACCTCCTGGTCCGTAGTAATGACTCGCCCGCGTCACGTCGAAAACGGTGCCGTTGACGGCGACCAGGATCCTCCCGTCGTTCTTCTCCGGAGTCCCGTCGAACTCTCGGAGCTCGACGACGGTCATATCGCGTCGCTTCATTTTTGGTAGAATTTTCACTGCTGGCTGGTCATCTTGAGATGCGCTGCCTTTTCTCGGTCCGAATAGTGTCCATGTGAGAGCGGCTATGATCGCGGATAGGACTATATTCAGCGGAGTGAATACTTCATCCAATAGATTCGACATTCTGAAATGAGAAATGATGATATCTGATGAGCATTGCGATACAGACCGAATCCTGATCGAGGAAGCGCTCAAACAGCAGGACTTTCAGTTTGGGGCCATTCTGAGTGTTCCATAAATACTCGGTATGTATTTGGACCGTCGAAGCAATTCGCACTAATTGGTTCAATCATTCGAGTTTTCCCGTTGAATTGGGACCGAGACATCTAATGATATTCGGAAAATCCACCACGAATCTAGTGGTCAGAACAAGGAATGCAAGAAAACGTCCTATCGAGGATAATATCGGAAAAACTATTGAGAATTATCCGGTTTTCGGCGCTCCCTGTATGAGCCGATCCGAAGCCATCACGAATCGCAGTATGATGCATCGCGGAGGAATAGATCTCTCCGAGAGCGACGGACAATAATGATTCACTGATTTGGGTTGTCAGTTGGCATCGAAGCCACATGTCATGAAAAAATTCCTCGGAATCGCGAGACCAGGCGAGATCCAAGGCCAAGGTAGGTTTGTCATCTGCGAGCAGCTACGTGAGCGGAAGTTATCAGGTCCGACATTTCGCACTCGGAATACCTGCGTCCACAAGCCATCTCTGAATCCTTTTTGAGAGCCGGTGAGGAACTCGTTGCTTCCGTCAACTACCTTCCAAAAAAGCATCTGCGCAAAGACGAAGTCATTCAGAAACAGTTCAACTCGTGTTCCCTCGGAGCTGGTCGGAACCGTCGTGGGTGGGTCTGCAGGATGGTTTTCGTTGATTGCGACCTTCGTTTGCTCTAAAAACGATTCCCTGGAACGGGCTTTAAGAGCCTGAATAAAGCTCGACATGCTCCGAGTCAATGGAGGACTTCGTAGAGCAATCAGCCCCCGTCAAGGAAAAGTCCGACTCGACAAGGTCTGGCGCTGCCGGTGCGAAGCGCAGTTCTTGTCCCGAAACGGCGCACGCAGCTGACCCGGCTGGACAGCTGATCCGAATGGAAGACTACCTGCCTCCCCCTCAACTCACAATTAGTCAGACGCTGAAGACTCGGAGCATATCGGAAACAGCTCCGATCAACGAGAGGACTGTCCTCAGGCACCGGAGCGCGGGAGGGCATGGGCAGACAAATGGCCGACCGGACGGACGACTGGCTTCTCTGCTTGAACAGTCGCCTGATAATCTGCTCGATCGAAGAGCGTTTTTCGTTGGCAGTCCCCTATGCGGGAGGACTTCCCAGAAACGATTTCTTTGAATATCACCTCAATATCGGAGAGATCTCCACGTCCGAAGGACCGTCCGATTCGAACGTGGCCGCCTGCGATGGAGCCGTCATACGCCGACGGAAAAGCAATGCTGCTCGGCGGAAACAAGTACTTCAACGACAGGAAATTCAATCGATGGGGTTGGAGAGCAACAGTGGGCAAAGGCGACGACGACTCAAATACACGATTCATTGCGAACTGAGCATGGGAGCCCACAGATAAATTGTTGGCTTAAGTCAAACGTCGAACAAGCGCCGGTTTCGTGGAAGCTTCTCAAGCGATAGCCAAAGCTAGGCTGCTGCTCTGCAGAGTAAAATAGAAGGAGCGCGCTGCCGATCGCTGCCTATGTCTGAGGATGGCAATGGCGAAAAAAATTCATCATCATGACAACCCACCTGCTGGAGTATCGCCGACTCGGATCCTCGAGAACCTCACTCGGAATAGAAAGCGACACTTGAGCTCAGAATGAATCGCTTCTAGCTTGAATCTGTCGACACGATCGACTGTCGGGAGGAAACACAAGGCTCTCGTTCCTCGGCGGCGAAAGTAACCAAGCAACTGGACGGTGCCTGCGTGTGTGTTTTGACTGTTGTTTGCGGTGTAAGATGCTGCCGCTACCTTTGCCGCTGCTGCGGCATAGAGCTGAACTGACGACTGCTCCTGTATAGAAAAATAGAAACCGCTAGACATGAGATTCGGAATTTGCGATTGTGCGCTTTAGACGGCGTACTTTCGTACGCTTGCATTTATGATTAAGATAGCTTACGATTGTACGTATGTTAAGTCTATGGGAAAGGCGAACAAAAAGAAGGGGAGTAAAATTTCACCGATTTGGAATCTCTTGATGGGAGAGTGTAGAGGATGATATCGATGATCCCTGACGAAATTTCAGGCATGGTCGGGCGGTTGCTTTGGCAGTTTTTCGATGCTGATTTTTTGATCGACGGGATCACGGAGGATCTCTGAGGTCAGGATCGTGATCCCGGTGTGGTCTTTCCTCCCGGTGACACGTACAAGCGTACAAAAGTACGTCGTCAGAAGCGTTCAAGTTAACAAATCGATTTTCATTTCTGCCTGTGAACACCGGTATAGCCAGGGCCGGAGGACCGATGGAAGGGTTTTCTTCATGGGGTCACCATGATCACCATTATGATTCTGATTGTAACCATAATTATGTAGTCTTGAGCTCATGATCAGAAGCACGATTATGAACTATGACACGATTATGAACTATATATGATTATGAACTAACCAATCACTCGGCAAAGCTTCGACGTGCGCGAGGGGTGGGTGTTTGGGGACGCTTCCTACGTGCACGTATGAAGTTCTCCAATGTCCAATGCTCGCGTCGCCCCTCTGAGTTTCGAGCATCCATACGATCTTCCTGCAAGCGCGCGCTCCACCAGCCCTAGAGTGTAAGAAGATCGCGGTTGCAGCGCAACTACGAAATTATCGCTCTCGTCAAGCTCTAAATAGAGTGGCATCGCAAAGCTTGAAGCTCGCTGTCCGAGTTGCCGGACAGAGCCCTTTTCTCGGCCATTCGCCTCGAACCCTCAAGAGATCGAAGAAGAAATCAGGCAAACGAAAAAAATTACAGATATTTGCAAGGAGTGTGAGCCTACGCCCGGTACGCCCAAAACGAAGGTGAAAGTTTCTATACATCGTACCTCGAACTTGTCAACACATTCGAGACGGCACCGCACGGCGCACTTATGCACCGCTCTCGCGGGATGGCGAACTGACAAACGACATACATGTAGCATACACATAGCTCTCTATACTCGAGATATCTTAATCCGACAACGATTCCCTCAACATTTTTATGGCGGGCGGGTTGGGAAAGAAACAATCGCATGGAGTGCACGGCTGGGCAACAGTTTCCTGGCCTGAATGGATAGCGGAAGACGTGTCCTGTTGAATTCAGTCGAACACAGATCGAGATCTTCGCAAAATAAGTATCTCTTCGAATCTAGCATCGCTCAGGCGGTTAGCTTTCGGAGCATTCGTCATAGTTGCGTGTGAGAACAAACACTCCACTCCAGCGCTGGATGGGTGCTGAGTGTTGAATTCTCGGGAAATGGAAGCGATCGTCGGATGTTTCTCCAGCATTAAGAGTGCGATATCCGCATCTTCCAGATACTGCTGCATGATTTCCTGCACAACATCCATTCCTTGGGATGCCGTCGAAGAGCTTGTGGTATCCCCATTCTCGAAGTCGCAGTAGTCGTAGTGGTCGTCCTTGTTCATTTGCTTGACGATTCTTAATCAGTTTTCGGAAGCGGTCGAGAATGAACGGTCGATCCCCGGGTGCGATGCACGCGAACCTTGAATGTCGGCATGGGTATCGACGCTGAAGCAGATTTCTATCCTTCAATCGTGCGGCAGTTGAAAATCTTCTCAAAGCGAGTCTCCATGCTCCGCAGAAGTCCGTCGACGACGGGCTCACAGAAACGCACACGTGTTCTGGACACCGCAGAGAGCTGTTTCCTGACCACGACGAGAGTCGTCAGAAAAAATCAGTCGAAAGCTGACCTTTCGGTCTGCAGTTCATCCAGGCCTACAGCAACCAGCTTCAAACACTCGAAATTCTCCTTGATGTACGGAGAGTCTTCTTTAGTTAAAGGATTCGGAAGGTTTAGTCTCGCCATTAGGGTAGGAATTCTCGGTCTTTGTCCCATCAAAGCCGTGAACGAGTCATCCAACGAATCTCGACGGGTCACCACCGGAGAAAATCGATGGGGAAAGGACTTTCGAGATACATTGATAATTGTCTCGAACCGACAGGTCTTCTCTGCCGCTCCTAACTTCGCTTTCTCCTTCGCTCGCCGCATTTTCATCGGTGGCGTCCACTGAAACATCACCGTTTTCCGAATTCTCAGCCCGTTGAGGTCACGATCTACATGAGCGGCGAGTACGCCCAATTCCTTGGAAGCCTTGATGAAATTGGATCCGTTCTCAGTGACAGTTATCTTCGACGGCGGGACGTCGTACGATTCGTGAATTTCGCTGACGAGGTCTGCGATCCTCTCAAATGGTACGTTCCCCCGGAAACGCCGGCATGCCAGAGGCGCCGATCTAAGACTGTACTGCTCATCTATTCGAAGTACCGTCATTCCCAAAGAGCTCTTTTTACCTCCCGGCCAGATATCAGCGGTCGTCGACACCGAGGCTGGTATGAATAGGAGGTCGGTCCATTAGATACGGTACTTAGCGTACGCCTCATCCAGTCGGCGGCCGGAAGTCCGACGACTCATGAGCTCTGACTTCCTTTGCTTCAAACCCACCACATTCGAGATATTCTCGAATGATTTCTTCTCCACCTTTTGCAGAGGTACCATTGTGTGCGTAGTGATCTTCACAAGAGCTTTCTCTCTGCGAATCGATTGCAGTTTTTCTCATGCGCGTCTCATTGGTCCGTCCAGGATGGCGCGTCACGAAGGCATACCGTTTGTCTGTTAGCCATTCCGCCAAAGCCGTGCACAAGTGCGCCGTGCG